TGAGTGGAGTAGAGGTGGACTTTTTCAAGGCACAGTAACAGGTCTTTGAGAGCCAGAATTCTTGCTGTTTCTCAGGTGTTCAAATACTTATGTTCAGCAGTGCAAGACAAATAAATTCTTTAAAAATCATACAATGTGATTTCCTGAATTTTTTTTAATTCTGTCTCTCAGAGTGGGAATGCACCTACAATGTGAATTTCAGACCCCTCCATGATTTCTAAGTGGGAGAAATTGCAAAATCGCAGGGTGTTCAAATACTTCTGTTCCTCACTGTATATTCCAGCATGTAGCTCTCTGGGGAGAATCCATACTGTAGCTTAGATGCAACATGGATATTGATTCTTTTTCATTAGATTTTTTAGTCTGACAAACAGAATGTGTGTTATTACCTCTGATTGATAGTCTCTTAAGAGTTTTTAAGTTAATCGACATACAGTATGAATATTTGTCTGTCTCTCAAACTGTCACACAACAGGCATGAGTAATATGGCCAACCAAGTGAGAGAGACAAAAGCTTACCCCCACACTGCCACTTCAAGTTCAAACATCTCGTCATCTTCATCACTATGAATGGAGTGCTATTTCAGTTCCACTTCTCAACAGCCAATTAAGCAGCCAGTGTCTGCCTTCCACTTCCCAAACTGATTGCTTATCCCTTCTTCTGATTGTGAGGGGTTATACGGAAACTTTTTTTTCTGCTTAAATTGCGTTTTGATGTGAAAACAAACAGTTTTACTGGTGGCAGTAAATCAGGTCATTTCAAGTGTTGCTATCTGAAGTTTTTATTATTCTGAGTCAGGATGGGGTGTTTAAAGTGATATCCACATAATAACTTTCTTTCAGCTGATTATCTTGTTTGAGTCTTGTGGCTCTTATTTGCGACACTGGGGTGAACTCTACATTGAAAATCCAGTTTCTTCTTTTTATTGCCTGGCTGTTGACACATTCATGAAGGATTCCCTGCAAAGATGCTGAACAGTGAGAGAAATCAAGCCGTGCCGAAGAACCTCGTAACCACCTTTGACTCTTAAAGTTCCCCGGAGAAAACAACATATGTTAATCACAAATTCAAAATGCAAGTTCATCAGCAAATGGGACAACATAGAGGATAAAACATTGCAAAACCAGTGTGCAGTGCTCTAAAGAGTACTGTTTTATTATGAAAGCTAATGTTAGCAGATGTGTGGGGATGTGCCAAACATCTACCTGATCCCACGTGGGATGACGCAGCAGTGCAGTATATCAGAACACTCAAGTAACGGGCAGAGTATTTACGTGTAAAATTTCAAACTCTATATGTGCAGGTTTTCCTCATCTCCCTGACTTATCCAAGTGGAGGATTAAAATATTTCAAATATGACTATCCATTTTTATGTAAGGATACATCATCAGTATATTAAATTTTTTAACCAATGCCAATAATATACAACGCATTTCACTGCGTCATATTCAGATTTAGGACGTTTCATAGCTATGATTTTCCTTCAAACTGGTCTATGCAGAGGCCCCAGTGCCAAGTAGAAGTGAATGGCAG